CTTAATACAGACACAGTTTGCAAAAAGCAAAGCAAGATTCATTTTCATGCAGTGCACCCTAACACATTGCAATAAGTACTCTCAAGTAAGTTCTACTCTCTGGTACCACACTTGAACATCTGTATTGAGACTCTCAGACTATTGTCTTAAATTAGGTCAAAGCACAGTACAAGAATAACGGAACATTATGACAGGGAAAAGTAACAGTGCAACAAAAAAAAAACAACCAACCAACCAAAAAAAAAAACCAACCCCACAAAAGCCAATAAATACAAAGAAAGGCTGAAAACAGCTCTGAGGTGAGGAGAGCTATTCCCACAGAAAGACTATTTGCATTGATTTAATTTTTGACATGCTTTGTTTTCAAGATTTGTAATGAACTGTACTATTACTGTTTGTTCTGAAGCACTGTCAGAAGGCCTGAGCAAAGTCATGAATAAGCAAGAAAGGGGCATACAAAATTTACTGTCTCCATGCTATCAGTGAAGGGCAAGAATCATCTACAGGCATTAAAACATGAGCTGGATAAACAGGGTAGGCAGGAAGCCAGAGCAGAAGTTCAGAGAGCAGAAACTGAGGTGTGAAGGGGAGACTTAGCAGGACAATCACAGATTCAGTTTTTTAACAATCATTGACCTTGCACTAAACAACATAGGAAAAAGCCAGCACTCCACGTGAAAGAAACAGTGTTACTTTCGCATATTGGGGATGGGGCTTTGGAACATTGGGGCTGGCTCTAAGACACTAGGGGAACAAAACAAAGGCTTTGAAACACCATGACTTAGACACACTCTGTGGTTAAAAAGAATGCTATCTTTGGACAACCTATGAAACCAAGTTGGTGCAAATAGGTTCTGTAGTTAAACAGTAAGTTGGGGTACCACATGTATGCCAGAGAGTTATGAAATCAAACCATAAAAGGAGATAAATAAATCTGAGGAAGGGGCATACAAAATAGAGTAAGGGGAGATATAAACAGGCAGGATAGTTAGCATGTAGATTATATGCATCGGATAGGCTGTAAACCTTGGAGTACCCAACCAATGGGGAAACAAGCGAGAGAACTTGTGTGTGGGATAGGAAATATAAATCAAAATTCTGCTTTTGCTGTGTGTGTCTACTTGCTAGGACACCCAGGTTTTGCAAAAATGTTAATAAATAGCTGCTTCACTGTTGTGTCTACCCTGAGCTTCTACAAGAAAAGCTTTCATCTAGGGACAATTTCTCACACTCCAGAGATTTAACACATGGCAAAACCAACAGGACCAATATTAATCAGACTTCTTTCTCGTGCACACATTTTTCTGCTTATTTCTCCCCAGCCATAATAGCTGTGTCCCTTCCCCAGTATCATACGTCTACTCTCCCCTTCCCCGAAGACTTTTCTCTCTCTCTTGCACCACTGACCCCAAAGCTCAGAGGCCTCTTTGAAATCTGTACCTACATCCAAACCAACATTTTCTTCAATACGAGAACCACTTACTAATGAAAACCAATAATTTTTGAGAAGATTAAAAAAAAAATAAAAATAAAAATAGAAACCTTAAAATTACAACACTGTATTTAAACTGAGAAAAATCATGGCTTTCATTTGGTGCTTATGTGAATTCACAAACGAATATCAAAAGATTTTTCCCTGCACCATTAGCTTTGTCGCAAAGCAGCCACTGGGAAACTTAGAAAACACTTCAGTGAACTTACATTAAGACCAATGTTAGTTACACTATCATTCTATGTAGCACAAACCTATTTCAGAGTTTGCTTATTGTCAGAGCAAAGAACTCCCTGCATCACTCCTTCAAAATGAAGCCTGTATTTTTACAAAAAGGGAGTCTCAGGGACTGACCTCCTTCTGTCACTCACTTCCACATGTTCTGCCTCCTTTTTCACACCTTTCAAGACACATGTGAAGGCACTGTGGTAAGGGTGGTACATTGGTGTCCAGTCACAAGACCAGGAAGGGAAGAGGTGTACTGCTGCTGGAGAGCACAGCTCACATAGTACCAAAATCTCTCTCTTCTGTTACCCCCTGTGCTGGGTAAGTCTGCTTGGTGATCAAAGGACTGATATTCAGAGAAAGTGTGAGCAGTGTACAGTGTTCCATAAATGCATGTGATGTGGTGGTGTACTGAAGATGTTCGAAGTCCGAAAACGCACATCCCCTCTTCTCAGGTCAAAATATGGGTCACACTCACTGCTGCTTACACTTCCCACTTTGGCTCACTCAGTGCCCCTTTCATGATTCATCTTTCTCCTCCCACAGGTGATGGGGAAACTTCTCTCACCAAGGCCTCCCTCATCTCCAAGTTACCTGGACACCCGTGTCTCCTTCAGAAAAATCCTGCTTACCCTTCTGATGAAATATGGCTGCAGGTTATGCAGTATATGAACACACAATCTGGGAAGGCATGATGTAACCTAATGTTACACTGCACTCTCAGGAGGTGTAACTTTGGCAACCACTAGTAAATGCTTAAAATAATAATTAGGACAGTATTTAACACAGTGTCACCTTCACATTGAGTGCCTTCACTGGAAATAAAGAGGAGCGGGCAAAACCATTACTGCTTTGCAAAAGGAGTACGTGGCCTCCAGCTCTGAGGAGTTCTAGCTCAGGGAAATGGGAAGTGCGAATGGTATTTAAATGTTAGCAGGGAAGGGAGGAGAAGGTTAGAACAAATAGGTGGGAGTGAATTTCTCCCTCATGATGCACCAGAGTCATGAGAGCTGGCAATGTATGTCAACTGCCTCATCTGGAAGGACCACTGACATTCTGCTGCTCCTGCAGCAGTTTGTATGACAGCTTGGGTCATCTGATTCAGACAGAATCAGCCAAGCTAGCGTAACCCATTGAAATATGCAGCACAAGTTTTCCTGGCTCATTTTATTGTGTGAGGCAGAGCTCACACAAACAGCTCCCCAGCAGAGCCACAGGAAATGGGCAGCAACAGGCAATTTCTATGTAGTGATGGCTTAAATCAGAGCTGTATGCAACATTGGTCAGTACAGTCAGTGTTTGTCAAGGTGGTCAATGAGGTCATTTGTCAAAGCAGAACTCTGCTGAGTTCCCAGATGCCTTGTTCTTTCGTGTGAGCTTCCCTAACCTAAGTGGGGGAATAAAAATAATGTTCTTGCCATTACAAGAACAGATTCATTAAAGGTTAGAGCAAAATCCAAAACGATTACAAGGAAGCATTTACCTCACTGCAGACAGCATCTCTCTGTTATTTTTGCCAGCAATTTAGAAAACTAATTAAAATAATGGATTATTGTACTCAATGTTTTAAACTAATCAGTAACGCTAACATGCTATGCATTTGTGCTTTCCTATAAACACTATCTTTAAAAGCCTTCCTAAATTGACACTTTTAAACAAACAAAAAAATCTTGCTCTTTTTATTACTTATTGGATTAGAAATAATTAAAGCTTAGCTTGCTGGTATTTGCATGAGTGCCAGAAAGCACAGGTCATTGGGCCTGGGCAGATAAGGTTTAATAGCCCAGAGTATCTTTTTCCACTAGTTTGATCTGATCACGTTAGGCTTAGAAAGCAGTGACTAGAAAGCGTTAGCATTACAGAGCAACTCAACTATTTTCTCCAGGAGATATTTCAGGCTCTGATCCTGTGATACTGATGTATGAAGGCAGGCTCATCGACCAGTACAGAATCCTATTAACGTAAATGGGGTTTTGTGCAGGCATCTGCCCTACTCCCAAGAATCAAGAACTTTATGATTGGAACATAGTTCCTGAACAACAGAAGCTTGCATCTCATAACCTCTCTCCTCCTCCATGCCCCAGTCTCATTTTCTTAAGATGCCAATGGTTTCAGAAAATTTAGGAAAAATAAAGATACATGAATTCACTTTTAATCCACAGACTGACTCTTCACTATTGTGACCAAAGTATGCTTATTGGTAAACACAGAAACTTCTATGATGAAACTCTGCTCTGTGGATAAATATATCTCCAGAAAATCAGGATTTTCATAAAGCTTTCTAGACACAACACACGTAATGTTTTAAAGTGGTTAGCCTTCCAAACATGTCAAGTAGCTTTCAGGCATCTCCAGGTGAGCTTTCCAGAGCAGAAGCCCACTAACATAATAGTCAGGCTTGAATACCTTGCCTCAGCATGTTTTTCACAAACAATATTTACATGTACACTATGCTCATAACATCTGCCTTTCCACTTGCCTGAGAACTAAAATGCAAATAAGGGAAAGAGATCCTCAGTTGAGCTATAAATTATGAATAGTTCTTCAGTGAACTGAACTTTGAAGCTTAAGTAACAGAGCAGTAAAAGTCCAGGAAACTGAAAGATGTACAGTTTTAACTTAATGCTACCCCAAAAACTCAGTTAAAACATTTAAACATCTTTCTTTACTTTAACTAGAATCTTCAATGGACCAAAAGGTACCTCTGGGGACCCAGCAAAGCATTCTGCAAGATCTGAAGAAGATTGAGGGGAGGAGGCCATGAGGGGGAACTATCCACACTTCAAAGGCTTTCCTTCAATATCACTATTTCAAGTGAAGATTTACAAAATGTTTCTTATTTATACATTTAGTTATTTAAACAAGTGTAATGCCTTACTCAGATGAGAACAAAAAGACTTTGAAAACTTAATTTTTATGCTGTTGAAAAAATATAAAGCCTGTTGGACTGAAATGTTTTCCTTTGACATTCTCTTCTCTTTTTAAAAAGATTTTTTTTTCTTTTTAAACCAAAAACAAAAATAATGTCAGGATCTTACCTGTCTGCTGTGGTTCAAAGGAATTTCCCTGTCTCATTTTAGTATTATTTTGTATGGTAAGCATCTTATCAAATGAAGGTTGTGTTTGTTTGAGTTTCAATGAAAATTAAAAAGAAACTAGAAGCATACAATCCACCCTGAGAGCGCACTTTCTACACTTTTAACATAGGTACTCTAAAAAGTCTGCAAAAGTCCCAGAAACACTGATTGAAAAAAAAACCTAAAAAAAAAAAAAAAGCCCCTACCAACATAACTTTGCTGTTTCATTATGTCACATCATTTAAAACTGTGTTCAGCAAGTATCTTCGAAAGCCAGTGTCTCCTGGCCATAGATGTTACCTGTAGGCAGAAGGATGGTACAAAAATGCTACAATTTTTTTTCCTGCTTAAGTTTCCATGTAATACAAATATTCAGGAAGTCTTTTAAAGTTCATCATATGCTTAAAGATATGCTTGAATTGTACTTACAGTTATATGACTTCATTATATGCTTCATGCTGTCCTCAGGTGCCTTTTAAGTCTGCAACAACCTATCACAATATTACTTTGTTCTTCACCATTTACCAGGCTCCATTCTGTACCTCCAAATCATTTGTTTCTTTGGCAGCACAAACTGACTATGGGAGAAATTTCATTCAAATTAAACAGACTAACCTTTCAAAAAACCTGCAACAAACTTAAAGGAAAAAAAAAAAAGCCTCTCTCTTTCATCCCCTACAACTCTGTAGGACAGGTCCTTTTAGAAGCAGTCCAGGAAAAGCTTGTATATATTTGCTCTCAGTCCACTAATTTTTCACAACCTCCTGCACAGCCAGAGATTCTACCCAGTAGCTGGAAGTCCTCTGGGATAATTTCTTTCTGTTAATGGAGACTGTGCTGATTCACTACAATGTGATTCACCTGCTACAGGTGCCTAGGCTCTGGAGAGCAGCCAGGCACCTTTCCCATGTGTTACAGCCTCAGAGCCACACAGTAGGTAGCTGCTTTGCAGAAGCTTCCAGGCCAGTGTAGGAGATAGATATACACAAGTTTCTATGCAACCCTTGACTGTGGAGGTGAGTTCCTGCAGCCTAACTGAAAGGCAGTGGCAGATTAGAAGCTTTGTAATAGCATGTTGTATGTTTTAGCACAACTTTAATAGAATCAGAGGCTATTGACTGATTTTATGGCTATATGAATGTTGTCAGCTAGACTAAAACATGTGGCAGGCCAAAGCTGAGTTAATGTGCCAGTAAGACAAAGAACCTTTGCCAGCAGGGAACTGTAAAGCTCTGAATTCTCTAAGGCTGTAAGCAGGTGAAGCAAAGGTATGGCTGGTTACCTGCTGCTATGCTAACATGACGTGTACAATTCATACAGCTGATGAGAAACCTGTAGAAAAATGGAGGTGCCTTGGCAATAATGTGCTTAGCTCTATTGAGAGCACTGTAATGTTAATTTGCCTTTTCTTTGCTTGAAGTAACATTTATCATTGTTTAGGGAGCACCAGTAGCAGGGTTTTTAGTAAGCTTCTCCAGCATGCTGTCCTTTATCTTTTATTCCCATCCCTGCTGAGAGCTAGCCAACACACTTTTTTTCTGGATTAAAATTTGTGTTTTCTCAGTTGGGGACTGAACTTTCACCACACTTAAGTTTCGCAAAAAATTACTGCTTTCAAATAATTTTTTATTAGGGAAAACATTCTGAACGAACAAGCTAAATTTCTTGTTTTGATCATGTTTAATACCTTTGAATTCTTTAGTTTTGACAAAATGAAGTAAACTATTATTCTGATTAATTTCATATCTGCTTTATATTAAATATCAGTATTGTTATAAAGAATTTACCTATTATTATTCAGCACTGAAGCAATGTACTCTTATCAGTGTTTCAAAATTACAAATGCCCTTGTCATCTGTCTTAACAAAACAACTTCCTACCTTTGTACAAGGCTTGCTTTAACAATTGAAAAGACTTTCTGAAATATGGGAAATACGGGAAACTTAGAATCATAGAACTCCCACTTCAAATTATAACACTCTCAGTTATTGAAATTTCTGTACTGAGAACTCAATGTACTTATTTTTGCTTACTGTTGCTCTGCGTAAGTTTGAGTCAGCCTTCTTTTACTTCACGATGAATTGATGAAATAAGGAAGTTCTCCTAATGTGAAGGATGTGTTACCCAATTCAAAGTCCAAAGAACCCACAGCTTCAGTGGAGATGCCACTTGCAAGGATGGTTTAAGTTAACACATTTAACAACGCAAATAGTGTTGTAAGAGTTACTAGTAGCTGTCAAGCCACAGACCAGCATGTGCCCTGTAGTCCTTTAAACTCTTGCCAATTCTTCAGGTTAGAGAAAAGAAGAGTTAGGGAAAGGCTCAGAGTGCTCCAAACCTTTTAATGCCTGGCAAAGAGCATTATGAGGCAGGCCAGTCACTACAGAGCCTTGTGGCTGGAATGGAACATCTAAGTAGAACTTTAGTGTGAGGTGGGAAGACAGATCCATGACAGTTTGTGATCTCTCAAATTAAGCTGTTGAAGATGAAGTTCACATAGAAGTCAGCCAGTCTGCTTTTTCATCTAGTCATATCAAAAAACACTGCAACAATTTGTTACTATGAAGGTAAAGGCGGAGTGGGTCTTATTGCAACTGAAACCGCAAAAAGAGATTGTTCAAAAATGGTAAAGATACAGTACTATATAATGGATTTTTAAATTTGACTTCTCTATAGTGGATAATGTTGATACTAACACTAGTAAACACCACTGCCTGCAAACTAATGAGAAAATGAAAATGTAAGCTCAGGTGATTGTTCTGCTTGCGTTCTTCATAATTCACTATAGCAAAATCATTGTTTGATCTTGAGTGTCGCATAACAAATGTTATCAGTTACATTATCAGGCAAAGATTTTTGGAGCAGAAGATACTTTTTTCAGCTTCCTATTCCATTAACATGAAGGGGTGTATCTATAATATATCATCATATCACTGAAGGGTCTTAAAAATTACATATTACCAGATACTTACAAACATGAGGTGAAGATTGCCATTTTTAATAGCTTAAGGATGATGAAGTGATTCTTTTAGTGAATGACTACTACTCATATTTCTTTCAATATGACCTAATATTTTTTTTTTCAATTAAGACAGCTGATCTTGTACATGCATAAATTTGATATAGTATATTAATTGCTGGGTTACCAAAGACTGATGGCAACAGCTTTGGCCATAGAGCACTCACATAAACACATGCTAGTGAAAGAGAAAAAACTTAATTCAAATGTATACATAGACTTTTAAACCCACCTCCCCGTTTCGATTTCACCAAACATTATCACCTTACTTTCATTCTGTTTTCAGCAGGGGGAAAGATAAAAGTAAGACTGACCTCTCCGGAAATCACCAATGGTATTCGACTTTTGGCACCTGATTAAAAAGGCAGATAAGGGTTCTATGGTACGGTGGATGAGGAAGTTCGGTGGTGCACCCATGGGTGCTCCTCAGCAGCATGTTGCCCACCTCAGGGTGGCTGCCCCTGGTTCACCTGCAGCAGCACACCCACTGCTTTCCCTATGTAAACAGGCTTCAGCAGATTGCAGAATCTTGCTAAATATTGATTCTGATAAGGCTTTGGATTAAAGTTAATTTAAATAGCATGTGTAAAGAGTTTTCCGAATTGATTTAAAATGACAAGTACTGAAAAAGCATTAAAGCTAAGCACCAGTTCAAACAATAAATTTGGGCTTGTGGTAATTGATGAGTTTGCAGCTGAAAGGCTAGGCTGGGGGGAATTGGGGCTCCCTAAACGGCGTCCTTAATAAAGCACTGCCCAGCAGGTGGAGGGGGGGCTCTTCGTGTGGGACAGCTGCTCGGCCCCTCCGGGTTCCACCACAGTGACCCGCCGACGGTCAAGAGCGTTCTGGAAGGTGGCGGGCTCCAACGGCCGCGGCACGAGCACGGTCGCAGGGTGGGGCTGGGGTGAGTCAGTCAGAGCAGAGGGGCGGGAGAGGCTTCTTGCCTACAGGGTGAGTGTGGAGGGGGTGGAAGCAGGCGGGGTGTGGAGAGTCAGGCATGATGCAGGAGGAGAGGCTGGAGCAAGGCCGAAAGGAGCGTTTGGGAGAGACCCATAGAGAATGAGATTGTCCTGTCCAACCAGGAGGACCTGTGGGGGCTTATTTCCATGTATCCTTGTCTTACCACTCGTCACTGACTGCTAAATGATTAAAAATTTAAAACTGGGAACAACCCCTCGTCATGCCTTTTGACTTTTCACCACTTTCAGTGCCAAGGCAAAAAAAGTGCTGCTGATGGAGAGGAAATGTCAAATTTACACACATTAGGAGATTATCGGTTTACTTTGGAGCCTACTCAGTGATGGCACTGCTGCCCAAAGTACACGCATAGCTTTCAGGTGCTGGGGTACATTTGTGAAGGATCAGTCAGTTGCTGCTCAAGATGAAGTGGTAATAAGAAGCCTGTCTTCAGTTCTTGTAGTAGAATGTGTAACCTTGCAAACAGCAGATCCAGACCTTAAAACCTAAGCAGAGTACAGATCAGACTGGCTTTTAGAGGAATTTAATAGCAGTTGTCCAATCTTGCCGATTTATAAGGGTACTTTGTGGTGCCTTTTCAGGCTGTGTTTATTGTTCCAGTACTACACCTTCTGCCAGTACCTGGGGCAAGATGCTGTGCTGTGCCTTGTGCAGTCAGGCTGGATTCCTTATCCATGTGAGAGTTCTCTTAAACTTCATTTTGGGATGCTCTGAGGGGTAAATCAGCTGGCTCCTGGAGAGTTTGCAGCCAAATAGATCGTTGTTTGTAGTGTAATGGGTGAATAACTGTGTGGGTGTATGGTCATAGCAGCTGTCAAACTCTTCTGGGTGGAAAATCAAGCAAACTGAACACCTGAATGCATTAAGTGCTTAACCTGCTTTGCCTGGACTTGATGAGAAACAGTACCACTACCAGCAGTGCTGCTGTGTTTGCAGGGACGTGGTAACTTCTAGGAGGCACAGGCCAGCAATGGTGACCTCTTCAGGTAAGGTCACAACTGCAGCTGAAGATAAAATAAACTGATGATATTAGCTTAAAAGTGTCCTGTTTAAAAAAAGGTGTTTAATGGATACAATCTGTACCTACACAATATAGATTGGTATGTTTTCTTCCTTATGGCACACATAAGCAACAATCTATATCTGAATCTGATTGTCCAGTAGTCAGTGTTTTAGTTCTTTGAGTTGCCTTTCCTAGATCAGATATGCATGTTGTGGAAGGTTGGCATATGCTAATGCTAGGCTGATAAGTATGCTGAGGAGCCTGAGATAGAGTGAGTTGTGGCAGAGCTGACATTATAGAGGTCATAATGCTATTTTCACAGGGTACAGTGGTCATTCGTCTAAGTGCTTTCAAACAAGCAGTTTTTTTGCTATTTAAAGAAAACTTCCTTTACCCAAAAGAGCCTTTATAATAGAAAAGCTAAGGAAGTTGTAGTTGCTGACTGGAAAGCTTGGTTATTTATGCTTATCATTAGTAAAATACCCATCTTTTGAAGAGGTGTAGAAATGTCAAATGTGTAATTCAAAGTCTTTTTTATTTTCTTTACCTCTGCTTGACACATCTCAGCCACCTCCACTGCTAAGACTGGGAGTCCATTGTAGGAAATTTTCCCTGCAGGGTTAAGAATGTTCAGGAGATGCTGCCGTCTCAAGAACTGGTGATATTATCCAGCACAGTGAAGAAATCCCCTTTAGATACTAAAGGTATCAATAAGAGACAAAACCCAGGCTATTCAATTATTCAAAAAGCAGGACTCTGTATTTGGTACTAATGCTTAGGGGAAAGGAAGAAAGCAACATGAGAGGCTTAGAGAGTAAATATCGGGAGAGAAAAAAATAGAACAAATGAACAACTCCTCCTCCATTACCCTTTTATGAGCCATGGCAGGGAAAGATGCATAACTATTTAAAATGGGAATATAGGAGAATACATGTTTTAGGTGGGTACAGGATATTGGTAACAAGTAACTTGTTTTAAGTCTGTCTTCCCTAACTGCATATAAAATGTATAGTGCTAGTACCACTGATGAAGTCTTGTGCTTAAACATCAGTATCTCTCAGTTGCTGTGATTCATTCTGTACAGAGCTTCATCTTTCATATATATATATACATATATAAAAAAATCTTCTAAAAGGAGTCCATTGTAAGCTTTGGTGGTAGCAGTGCAACCAGCGGCGCACTGTTTCTTTTCAAACTCTCTTAGACGAAAAGAGATTTAATAGTGGATTTTGCAGTTGTGTTATAATTTGACAGTAAAACATGTAGTAGATTTAGTTATTTTTTTCTTTCCTCTCAGCTGCATATGTATACATGGAACTGCGCATGTGTTTCAACAGTTTTTCATGTTCAATAGTACTCCCCCCCCCTGCATGACAATATATAAAGTTGCCAGTTTAAAACAGTCCATAGAGGAGGAAAATACAGAATGTTTGTCCTTCAGGAGTCTCTTTGCCAACCTGAATAAACATTGCAGAGATACCTGAGTCATTAGGGATTTACTCTGCTAGGCAATTTCACCCCATCACCCTTTCAATGTAAATAACTATCCTTAATTAATGGAAATGCAATATATACTAAGTAATGACAGACCAAGTAAATTAACAAATGCAGGATAAGATGATGTAGCTCTGTTGAAGGCATTGGATGAGGATCTTGCTCCTTCATCTCACTAGTTTAGGCCAGTTTAAACAAACATGAAGTGTAAACAAACCTTCTTTACACTGTACAACCTTTTTTACACTGTACAACAGCATTGAAATGAAATTGTTAGAATAAGTAATTGGAAGCACAAATGAAGTCATTTAGGCATGTGAATAGCTGGATTTGGTATGCAGCCCAGAACAGCTGTCTCCTGTACCCACAACCACTGACAAACACAGAAAGGAAGGCCAGACTTCCACAGCCCATTTCTGACAGTGCACAAATAAACAACTGTGGTGAATTTAACAGTAAAGACAATATTAATCCTTCCCCATTCCTGCCATCTTGGGGATTTAAAAGGTAAATGAAATTAAGTGAAAATTGCATTTAGCAGTCTGCATGTTTAGGCTCATCTTTGCCTTCCCTTCCCTTGCTCCTCCTGTCTCTTAAAATCTTTTTACTTCCTTTTTCTTTATACCAACCACCAGTGACATGCCAAATTCCCCTGCTTGGTTTAATTATTAATTTCTCTGTAAAGGCCCAAATGTAAAAATAGAGTAATGCAGCAGGGACATAATGATATTTTTCTTTCAGCTCTGTTTTCACGTTCTGCCTCTCTCCAACTGGCCTTGTCTTTTCTCCCTTTCCTCCTTCAGTACTTTGCTCTCTCCTTCTTTCAGACTCAGTAATCCTTAACAAAAAAAAAATACCTTTGTGAGTGATGGAAGGAAATGAATTGGGCATGGGAAGTGTGAGATTTCATAATGAGAAAACAGAAGGGGGGAGCCCCAGAAATTTCACAAATTATCCTGAGGAAAATTAAATTTGCAGGTGCTGTGGGGCCATGGCCTAAGTCTTCATAATTCTACTCTTCTGTAAGAGTGGTACCTGCTTTTTCAGTTTACTTTTACTTTTATTTTTTCCTGTCTGTCTCCACCTGCAGTTACTTCTTCATGACTTGGAAAGGAAGCTTTTTGAAGCAGAGACTGCTTTGTGGTTTGTGTGCCAGTGTGGCTTCCATATATTTTATGTTACCAGGTCAATGGAGATAAAACTAGTAGCTGTCATCCCTCTCTGAACAGCTAGTCTCAAAATTCAAGAGTGTGCTCCTATTTAAAACACAGAAGGGATGGACCTCTGTGACAGTGTTGTTAACAGTGTTTGGGCAACATGTGTATTATTTCTTAGGTACGCCAGTACTACTATTTGCAGAGGAAGGAACCTACACACAGCTTCTTGAGAGGGTAAACTGGCTATGTGCCACCTCAGCTCAGTTCTCATATTCCAGTTCAGTTTCAAGTTAGCTTGGGCATCTGCACTATGGATGCTTACAATTCTTCCTCTTGTACAGGGGAGAACTGAGGATTTGATTTTTTTTTTTCTTTGCTACTAAGTAATATTGAACAGGAGCTTCAGCAGGAGAGTGAAGCACAACAACATGGGTTAAAACACTTGTTGAAATAAACCTACCCCCTGCAATGGCTGGATCTTTTTGGATGGAACTGTTTCTGTCATAAATGACAGCTACACTTGATTCTTTATTACTGAGAGGTGTTTTCATATTTTTTGTAAAATAAGGAGTATATCTTGCATTGTACTGCAAAAGTGCTGTATAGGAATCCTTAATACGGAACACAAACATATGCTTTTGCAACAGTATTCCTCTAAGTACATTTTTCTTCTGGCTGTATCCAGGCCAAAAAAGCTAAGAGTTTCACAGTAGTGAGGTATGGCACAGAGCTCACTGATTGCGGTGTGAAACAGTAAAGGATGATGAAAGGGAAACTGCAGAAACCTTTAAGCATGCACATATATTTTTCTTCTGCATCCTTCCTTTTGGGTGGTTGAAAATGATCCTGCCGTATGTTGTGTTGTTTAGTTTTTCTTTGGTTGGTTTTTTTTTAGAAAGGATAGTGTAAGAAATTACGTTAACAAGAAAAAAAAAATCATTTTTTTCCTGCCAGAGGGGATAGGCATCTTTTAATTCCTGTAGTAATTCTAAAAGTCAGTATGATTCAGGGATTCCGTGTAGCTCACTGCTGCTCTTCAGTCTACAAGCAATTAGTTGCTTGGGCCTGCCAGACAAACAGCAGGTTATTGATATATACATATATTAGTCAAATATTTGTGTTTGATTATTGTCTAAAGTACACATTGACTGCTTTCCCCTAAATAACTCATTGCAGTTTTAGTTGCAAATATTGCACCTTTTTGTTGGTATTAGCTTCATTACAGAGTATCTTGTGATCACATCAGCACCAAAATGTAAATTGTTTTAACTGAAAACCAAAATACTTCTTGTAGGAACAATGCCAACAGCAGCTGAAGCTTGTTCAGGATTCAGTCAGAACATGCCAAGTTCACAAACCTCACAAGCAGGTCTTCTCCAAAGGTCTAAGAGAATATTGTGGGAGAAGTGAAATCATACATAGACAACAGAGGGAATTGGTGTTCTTATGCTTCACCTTTCTTCTGATAAATGTGCTGCAATACCATCCAGCGATTTAGATCATTTACTCCTACTGTAACAGCATAAAATCATGCTCAGGCAGATTATGTATTATTAACCTTTCCCTTCTACTTCTCCAGTTCCCCAGCTAGTTCTTGGTCCAGCTGGAAAAGTGGCAGCAATGGTACACACATATGGACATGATGTGGCTGGCTGGCTAGCGGGGTGGGTTTTTTCCCTTCACCATGTTGTACGACCAGGCTCAGAGCAGTCCTGAATAACATTAAAGCATTGCCTCTGACAGTTCAGAGTGCTTTGCCACCGGTGGTTTCCCCAGAGGACTCTAGGTCTGAATGCTGAGAAGAGAATAGACGTCCTTTTCTGTCCTTGACAAGAAAAGGGCATCGCTCAGCAGAGGGTTTATTTAACAGCTTGATTGTATCCATGCGTAATATCAAGCAGTAAAATGTTAGTAAGAAATAAGTTTAGCAGGGGACGCTACTTCCACACTGCCCAGTATTAAGCTGTCAAAATCATCCCTGAAATATGCCTCCTTCTCTGATGAGAAGTTACAAGTGGGTTATAATTCACCATGTGTTTCTGAATGCAGCGATACGCCAGAGAAAGACAGCTCACTGCAGCAGGTGATGTGGGAGTGGAGAAACTACCAAATAAGGGAAGCTAAAAGGAGAAATTACTTTTCATGGCACTGGGGAGTCACGTTTCCATTATAATTGTATGCGCTCTACCTGTCTCTGAAATTCTCTTACATATATTAATGCTACAGCAATCTGTATGAACAAGATGGGCAGTATGCCAAAGGGGGTTGTAATTTTCAAGTACCTCCGTATTGTTGCTGGAGAGGGGAGGAGGATATCCACTAACAGTGTAATTATGTGGCAATTCCAAGAAAATTGATTATTATTAGCTTTTTATGATCACACTAACAAAGTCAATGATCCAAGATGAAATAGCAAAAATTAGTACTTGAACAATATTCAGCAACAAGATATCACCAGGTGAGAGTGGCTGTATCTGAAACCAGATAATTCCTGAAACTGAAATGGCCATCTCCCACCAATTATAACGATGGATGTGCTCTATTAAAGCGTGATCCACTTTAATGGGGGACTCCAAGGATGACAGGCCATGTAAGTATGCAATGACACATACAGTATCAAGAAGTGGGTGGGTGTTTATTCTAAATACCCACATCACTGGGGTATTTGCACCTTTAACCAACAGAGAGAATTACAGGTAGTGAATACAGATCAATTTCTTCAAGTTGGTTATTGCTTTAACAAAATCTTTTGTCACTTTTTCTAACATCCATCTTCAGTCCCCCAAACACAGCATGGAGACTGGATACCTGCATAGTTAGAACTATCATTTCCCAGCCATGTCTTCCCCTTTGAGGCTCCGTGGTTTTATAAATAAGAATTAAAAACACTCCTCTGTGCTGTGAGAAGGCTTTTCTAAAAGGAGAGCAAGTTGCTGCAATACAATAGCGTAATATTTTTTAATGTTATAATAATAAAGTAGGGGAAAGAGAATAATCATTATTGCTCTTTCTTGTAATTAGTTTGCTTTCCGATATCCCACACTGCAACTAGAACATTATTCAAGAACACCCATCACAGTGCTTAACAAGATTTAATGTACATTTATTCTTAACATGTGGAACATATAAAGATTTTATACTGAATAAATGAAATTCATTAAGCCAGAGGAAAAGGAGGAATTTACATCAAGTTTTTTCTTTTTTAACTACATTATCTTGAAATACAAATGCAGATTCTTGTCACTGAAAAATCTTTGAAGTTGTGTTTCTTCTTTTTTTTTTTTCCTGTATATATTTTTTTGTCTGTAGACTGGTAACCATTTTCTTAAATCAATCCATACGTAACCATTTCCACACCTTGATTTATAAAGCAAATTGTGATCAGCTGCTCTCCCGAAATAGAGCATGACTTTATACATACAGAAACTTGTACATTACCCTCAGTTGTTGGTTTTCTGTGTTGGGTTTTTTCTTTTTTCTTTTTTTTTTTTTTAATTATTTTTTGGAGATATGGCCCAAATGAAAGAAAAAGTAATTCTACTATCACTTTGTAGATACCACATCATGAAAAAGAAACTAAAAACTTTGTACTAAAAAAAAAAAAAATGAGGGTATGTTTAATGTACAACTTCTATATACATCACGGCCCTTAGGCAATAAAAAAATATTTTAAAAAATGATTAAAGGAATTGTGAAGAACTGTCATTGTGGAAGGTCAAAAAAACAGATGTAGACAAGACAGTTCTGGTGAGGAAGCAATTGATGTTTATCATCAGGTTTTGCTGAAAAATCTTTTAACTTGACTTTCTTGTTTTGTTTTGCTCCTAGCCTAATGTAACCATTTCTCCTGAGGAGAAACCAGTATTGTTTTGTATTCTGACTACTGACTGACGCCCTCCTTGATCCCCTACACCTACATCACTAGAATCTTCTATTGCACAGAGCTTTGGGTGATGGTATACAAGTTTTTTTTATTATTTTTTCCTTATTTGAAAAAATAAAACACACAGGAACTTGGTATGTTGGTTATTTTTCACCTTTTTGTTTCAAAGTGGTGAGTTTTTTTTCCATCATACAATGGTTTGCCATAACATTTTTTTTAAAAAGTCACTAGGTTCGCTTCCCCAAAAATATGCAATACAAACATGGAAAAGAACATTGAAAAGGATAATCTATGGAAAAAAAAGTGTGACCTTTGAATGTACTAGACAGCAACTTTGGTTAAAAAAAATAAAAAGATGTACTTATACACATAGACAGCAAATATTAATTTCATAACTGTTCAAATTAATAATTTCTTTAATTCCCAATTGGTAAATAGTGAATGGGGCAGAGGAGCAAAGATTCTTTTTTTTTCCTTCCTACATTGGATAAACAAGAACAGAAAACAGCCAGTTATATGTGACCCTCTAATCTCCACTCACACATGCTTGGCTTCTCACTTATGTCATAACTGCCCAATCTGAAAAAGTACATCACAGATGACAGATGCAACCAGAGAGTTCAGGACAGCAGATATTGAGATATCCAGCAAACGACCCTCGTGCAAAAGGAATTCTGAGCGGTTCTCGTCCACTCTAGCCATAGCCAGCAAGGCCTTGGCTGCCCTGCACATCATGTCTACGCTAGGTGGCTCCAGAGGTGGAGGCTGCATGTGCATGAGGTTATGCTGGCTCTGCTGGTACTGGGCCATAGTGACCCCATCCTCCAGGAAGCTTATCAAGTTTCCGATGCTTCCCTTCTGCACAGCTATTGCCCTTGCTGCTAATGTGTCCCCCTGGGCAAGGTTCGATAAGAGCGCCATGGACATTTCTCGGCAGACCGGGTTTTTGCGGTCCCCAACGTACCTAACTAAAGTAGCGTAGAGTTTCTCCTGACGACTGAATGGGGGGGTGGCCAAGATAAGGTCCACATTATTGTCCTGGATACTGAGCTTACACAGGGTCTCCAGCACAAGTCTCTGAGGCGAAAGAACTGAGTTGGGCCCCACAGTTGGAAAAGGATCCTGTGCCTCTGCAGACGGGCACACCATCCAGTGCAGCAAGCCATCCAAAATTGGCAAACAGATGCTTTCTGTGTAAGCAGACAAGTCTAGCTGCCCAGAAATGTTGGCTAATGTGACCAATGTATTATCCCTCAAGACCTCGAGGCAGTCCCACCACCACTCATCCTTGCTGCAGGCCACCCCTTTGTCCTCCTCTTCCTCTTTCTCATAAGTCTGCGGCGCTCGCTTTCTTTCTGGATGCTCATGGTGAAGAAGGATCAGCTTTCCCAGGATCAGCACCAAGCCTGGATGTTTGGACATTTCGGTGTCATTGCCAGGCACAAAAGACAAGCTACGGACGATATTTGACACACAGATGCAGCGTTTGGCCAAGGAGTCTTGCCAGTGAGTTATGGTGCATAGAGGAGTCTCATCCCGGCTCCTTGGCTCATCCTCTAGCAGTTTAATATTCCGGTGGCTTTTGGCTTGATGGATCCCAAAAGGAAATTTACTGCTTTCTGTTTGGGAACCAGAGTTTGAGTCTTCAGGCAATGCTCCTGGCCGAGCTGAGAGGACGTCATCAATGGTTGCTGTTATACTTTTTTCTTGTTGTTCTTCAGATTCACCTTTCCCCTCTAGGTCCTTCTTTTTGCTTGGAGAGTTCAAGGGAGGAGGGGCTTTCCTGCGTGGAGGAATCTCCATCTTGCTTTCAAAGTGAGTCTGGATATGCTCAGTTGTGTCCCCACCACCAAGCTGCCAGTGGAGAAGTCCACTGTCAAATTCCTGAACACGTCCAAGTTTGTCAGATCGGTCAACAACAAATAGATTATTTTTCTTTACAATCTTTATTGGCAGCTTGTCAAATTTACTGGCTTGTTTTGGCCTCTCACTTGGATCAGCAATGGCACCAGGAGTGGAAAAAACAATGCTCTTTTCTTCCCCTTCTACCTTTTCATCCTCCCCTTCCTCCTCATCTTCATCAAAATAGTCAATACATTCGTCGTTCTCCTCTTTTCCAGTATCCTCTGCCAAGGACTGGCTATCATCCTTCTTGGCTGCTTTGTGATCAAGTGCTTTGTGTCCTGGATCTCCCACTTCATATTCCATAAGGATTCCAAAAATGTCAATCAGGCATTTTCTAAAATATTCTACTAAAAGCTCAAGAAATCCAGACAACTGAGGGGAGAAGAAAGAACATAAAAATCAGATAAAAGGAATTTTATTAGGAACATTGATGCATACACGTGTGAATGTTTCCAGACTCCTACTGCTGTGGACTTATGAGTAGGTCCTGCATGGCAGAAGTTAATCAAAGGAAAAATTCTTCTAGCATCTGTCCAAATAGTATGTAGTGTCTATCATAGCTCCATTTGCTTGAACTGTTACAGGTATGAGAAGTGCAGAATTTTATTCATATGTCTCCTTTAAGCTACAGTAGGCATCTATCCTAGCTGTTCTATCCTCTTGGAAGTGGCTGCCATTCTTCATGTTCTGCACAGAGTACTGAACTTTCTGACTCACATAGTTTTTCTGACTTGTACTTTTATTAGATGTCTGAAGTTTACAATTCTTGCTCTCCTCCTTTGTGTCTCAGTCCCCAAAACCAACTGTCCTGTAGGAATCTGCAGTTCAGGGTCTAGGTACGAACGTCCTAGATTAATACCCTGTCTCGATCGGAACAGCTCCATTTTTGCCTGGCAATACTTACAAATTGTTACTGGAGCCTGGCACTTTAAGTCACCCTTCAGAAACAGTCTTCATTTAGGTTCAATCCTTTTAATTAATTTGTAATCACTTTCTTATGGAAAGGCAGGAATTGAACTTGATATTCATTTACCCTCAGTGTCTTTATTATTAAAAGTTCTTTGCTGTTATGATGTATTCAGCCTGATGTCTGGCTTTTATTGTGGTGGTGGTGTTTAAAATCGTGGGCTAATAGGTTTTCAGCAAAATGCATCCTTTTGTCTGTCCTGTATTCTCTTATGACTGCCAAACCCTCAAAGAATTAAGAACAAACTGATGCCTATGAACTGCAGGAATTACCAGTCATCATCCAGAGTCCTGACTGCCACTGGAAACAGACCCCAAGGTAAAAGTAACAAAAAACCTGTATTTAAAATATGCCTGGTATTCCATGCAACTTGCACAGGGTGCATTAATGCAGTTTCTAACAGGTTTCAGAGGAGGGTCACCTCACTTCGCTTCAAACACCTGCAACAGTTAGACACGTAACCTAATTGTCTAGATTCCTTTTATAATCAATGGTCTTTTACAGGCCATTTCTAGGGTATGATTCATCTGACCTATTTTAGATCTCTGCTTCAGGGTGAGATGAATCATGCTATAGATATCCCTAGTTCTAAAGTTAGGCGGGATGAAATGTACCATTTGTGTCTGTATTTAAAAAAGGTCATTATATTTAAAAAAAGATGAGTTACACTATTAGTAACCAACGAATGAATGGAGCAGAGAAACTGAATATTTAATTTGTACAAATTTTAGATGATGTGCACTATCAGCATGCCGTCTATTACCACCACCTAACAGGCCAATGATTAGAGGAGGGCTGAAAAATGCTGGGAGGTAGTGAGGCAAAGCACACGCTGTTAAATCCTGTGTTACTTGCATCCTGTGGACGGACAGTGGATTTTAGCCTTTATATTGCCCATCTGATATTTCTGGGCAAAATTAATTTACTGGAAGAAAAAAACAAACAGAAAATAAGCAATTCAAAAAATCCCACAGCCTAGTATGGAACTTCTGAATAACACAAGTAGTCACCAAAAGACAACTTCAAATCCATTTTAAATAGTTTTGCAAAGCCTATTACGGAAACACAAGATTACTAACATACGACTGTTTTCTGGGATTGTCTTCGTACTTTCATGAGGGTGAATATACATGTTAGTCTTCTGTCAGTGCCAAAATTCCTACATTCTTACATGCTCCTTTCTACAAGAGATACCCTTCTTCCAGGCTCATTATTTCCCCTATTTGACCTAAAGCTATCTCTTGTTGCTGTTACCAATCATAAACAAAAGAGAAGTTTCAAAATACTCAATTTCATGTTAATTATAATAAATTTTAAAGGACTTCTGCATTTTTGTAGGTATCTTGTTTCAGTTTTCCTTCCTTGGAAAGTTGTGAAGCAAACTGCTTTGCCACCTACCTGAGAGAGGTTGAAAGTAGCAACAGTGCTGTCATCATACAGAAGAATATTAATAGTGTCTAGCGCCCAGGTACTTTCAGCCAAAAGACCAGATTTAAGAGACATCATCACTCTCCAGGCCTCAGGAGTTACTGGAGGAAGAAAGGAGAAGTAAAACAGTGCATCCCTAGAGACATTAATGAGTTCTGAAAGATTAAAATGTCACATTCTGAGGGTGCAGAATTTAAATGAAATAGTTACTAAAACACCGGGCAAGACCTGCTTTCATCACTTAGTTCTGTTCAGCTTTTCTGTAACCGCTGCTCAGCCTTCATACTGGAGCATGACAGGCCATTCTTCCTGACTTTGCTGAAGCCAAAATAATCGTAACTTAGAGAAACTGACTAAACCAAATAACTGGTACATAAATACTCTGTTAGGAGTTTGGGAACTTGAAGTATGAGAACTTGAATGTATGAAATGTAACAGGAACTCAGGAAGATACTTGGAAAAGAATGGGGAGAAACAAACATGACAAATAATATGGAATGAATAACTGAGCCCCTCAAGGGAAACATAAACAATAACTACACAGCAGAACAGCATGAGTTTCCATGGAACACAAACACAGAAAGCTTTGCTCAGCTAAATTTTGTACTGGTGATTTAACATACATTTTTAAGAACATTTCAACACATATAATTTGGAAATCTGAGGCAAGCTTCATTTTTCATGCATTTCTGGAGACCTCAGGTCTCTATTTAAAATACTGCTTTCATTTCATGTTAGATTGTCTGGGATGAGTTTTACCTGTTACCCTCTCCAATGCATATGTTATTACATTTCTATTGAAGACAATCAAATTATAGTTACTAAAATTAACTAT